CGCATTACGGGCTAGGGTTTAAGACTACTAATGGGTCAAGCTCTATCCCTAGATACAATCACCACTAGGCATATGTTTCAGAACTAGTTTCAAAGGTTATTTTCCAATACCCATGGAACCTTAAATCATGCAAAGGGTGATCAATCCAAAGCAAGCATTAAGAATAGAAACAAACACAACAAAGAATAAAACAACATGTATATATATCATTAAAACCGTAAAGATTACAATAGAGTACGTTGGTTACATCTAACCCCACAAAATGGGTGAAACCACTCAACAAAGAGGGCAAATACAAAATAGAGATGGAAGAGGAAGTGAAGAACCGAAGGAAAGATCCGCACACGGACGATCCCAAGCCCTGGGAATCCCTTCCGCAGCTCCTGGAGGCGCCCAATGTGAGAATGGGGGAGAAGTCCCTGAAAATGCCTTCAAATACGAGCTTGGAGAGACAGATTAGGGTTCATGCACCCGGCACATAAGTCTTCGCGCCCGGCGCATGGCCTTCCAAATGCCCTCTGTCTTCAGGACACGCCCGGCGCAATTCATATTGCGCCCGGGGCATTGGCTTCCAGAGACTAAATACTCTACTTTGCTCGCCCGGCGCAGGTCTTATTGCGCCCGGCGCAACACCTCTTCTCTGCTCCTTAGCCTCTTTGGTTTCCAATCCTATGGGTCTTCAATCCTCAAGTCTCTAGCTCAATACCTGCACAAAAAATGAGATGTATTAAGGTATTGTTAGCTAAATTTGGGTTAGTTATATCTGCACACAAAATGAACCAAAAAGAGAACAATTATATTGCAATGGTTCAGAGGATGACCGGAATTTGTTTAATAAGTCTCATCCAAAAAGAGGTAAAATTGAGACTTAACAGCGTGCCCACGCCAGGCATGACCCACCCAGAGAGCCTAAGGCTCTCTCACACCTGGTGCAATTCGAATTACGCCCAGTACAAGCCCAGGCAGAGACTCTAAGAAGTCTCATGCGCCCAGCGTGCTCTAACCCGCGCCCAGCGCGGGGAAGGCAAAGACCTCCCAAGGTCTCGCACCCAGCACAATTCAAATTGTGCCCGACGCTCCCATGATAGAGACTCCCATAGAGTCTCCGCGCCTGGCGAGACAAAAATGCGCTCAGCGCAATACCAGAAAAACCCAAACCAAGTCTCAATTGATATCGCGCCCAGCACGGTCCAAGTCACGTCTGGCGTGGGCCATCCAAAGACTCCCATTCTCAAACTCAGCCGGCGCACACATCATTGCGCCTAGCGGGCTTGCTCGAATGGGGTCCCTTGATGACCACGCGCCTAGCGTGAAGAACAGTGCCCAGCGTGACGCTTAGCAGCTACCCACAACTTTCAAAAAACTTCATCAAAATCCTGCAAAAGAACCAGAAAATCCACATGCAATCGGCCCAAAGTACTGCATTTTCAACAAGCATCACGAAAAACCCCTCATTTTCAACATGCAACCATTTAATCAAGAAAAACCCAAATTTTCACCCACAACCCCAAAACTCCTAAAATCCATTTTTTCACCAAAACTCAACCAAGGATCAACCAACACCAACAGATAATAAGCTTCTAACACTCATCTTCATCCAAAAATAGCGAAGAACCTAGCTTCCCTTACCTCGGTGAAGAATTCGAGCTTCTGGGAAGAGACAATGAAGAAGGAGAAGAAAAGAGAACAAAAGAGAAGCTCTGCACGACACGGCTCCAGGAGAACAATCACCTACTTAGCACCTTCAATACAAGTTACCACAAGGAACAATGAGAGCACAACTAGCCAAAAGGAAGAAAAGAGTGCGAGTAAGAAGAGTGAAAGAGAGTTTAAAGAGAGAGATGGGAGTCACGGGTCTCACAACCTCCCCAACAACAAGAGTTTTCGTCCCCGAAAACTGACTTACTTGGGAAAAGAAACGGATACCTCTCCCTGCACTGCTGCTCCACCTCCTAAGTAGCCTCACCAGTAGCTGCATCCCAAAACACCTTCACCAGAGCAATGGACTTGCCCCTCAACTCCTTCAGCTTATGATCAGCCACAACTACTGACAACTTCTCAAAAGTCATATTCTCGTTCACTTGCACATCATCTAGCTCTACCACATGACCAGGGTCATGGACATACCTCCTCAGCTGGGACACATGAAATACATTGTGTAGGTTTGAAAGAGACGGTGGCAAAGCCAACCGATAAGCAACCGGACCCACACACTGTATTATCTGATAGGGACCCATAAACCTCGGTGTCAACTTCCTTGCCCTCAGTGCTCTACCCACACCAGAAGTCAGAGTCACCTTCAGAAACACATGCTCCCCATCAGCAAACTCTAAAGGCTTTCGCCTCTTGTCAGCATACGACTTCTGCCTACTCTAAGCAGTCTTCATCCTCTCCTGAATCATCTTTACCTTTTCAGTAGTCTGTAGGATCAACTCCGGTCCCATAACTACTGACTCACCATCTTGATGCCAACACAGAGGAGTCCTGCATCTCCTGCCATACAAGGCTTCAAATGGCATATACCAATACTAGCATGAAAGCTATTATTGTAAGTGAATTCAACCAGCGGTAGGACCTCCTCCCAGCTTCCCAAATGGTCTAACACACAAGCTCTCAGCAAATCCTCCAAGGACTGGATTGTCCTCTCTGACTGACCATCCGTCTGCGGATGATAAGCACAACTCAGCTTCAGCTTCGTGCCTAAAGCTTGGTGTAGACTCTGCCAAAATCTGGAAGTGAACCTCGGATCTCTGTCTGAAATAATACTGGCAGGCACCCCATGCAACTGTACTATTTCCCTCACATACAACTGCGTCAGCTTCTCCAAGGGCCACTTGATATTGATAGGCAAGAAATGCGCACACTTGGTCAACCAATCAACAATCACCCAGATAGCATCACTATTCAGAGCTGACCTAGGCAACCCCACAATGAAATCCATAGTAATGCTATCCCACTTCCACTCTGGAATCTCCATCTGTTGCATTAATCCACTTGGCTTTTGATGTTCCACCTTTGCCTTCTGACAGGTCAGATAGGCCGCCACGTATTCAGCTATCTCCCTCTTCATACCAGACCACCAGAAAGTCTTCTTGAGGTCTTGGTACATCTTAGTCATACCGGATGTATGCTAAGTCTGCTCTTGTGGCCTTCCTCCAACACAACTCTTCTTAGTTCAACATCCTGAGGTAGGCAAATCCTGCCCTTGAACCTTAAGATTCCATCTTCACCCAACTCAAAACCAATAGCTTTCTCGGTACCCAGCAAACTAAGAAGCTTCACCAACTTGACGTCTTGTAATTGCTTGAGCCCAACCTGCCTCAAGAACTCACTGGTTATGGTAATTGCCCCACAACTAATGTGATCCTGAGCTAACTCCACACAGAGATTCAAATCCCTAAACTTCTCCACCAGCTCCATCTCCTTCACCATCAAACTCGACATGTGGATGGATTTCCTACTTAGAGCATCCGCTACAACATTGGCCTTACCAGGATGATACATTAATTGGAAATCATAATCCTTCATAAAATCCATCCACCGCCTCTGCCTCATGTTCAGCTCCTTCTGATCAAACAAGTACTTCAGATCCTCTTGTGATCACTAAAGACATTGAACCGAGCACTATACAAGTAATGCCTCCATATCTTCAAGGCAAACACCACGGCTGCTAAGTCCAAATCATGAGTGGGATAATTCCTCTCATGATTCTTCAATTGCCTTGAAGCATATGCCACCACTTTCCTGTTCTGCATCAGCACACACCCCAGACCCTGGTGAGAAGCATCACAATATACATCAAAGGGCTCACCAGAATCTAGCAACACCAACACATGAGAAGTAGTCAACCTTCTCTTCAGCTCATCTTCTGTCCAAATGAACAGCTACTCCTTCCTCATCAACTGGGTTAGAGGCGCTACCATCTTGGAGAATCCCTCAATGAACCATCGATAGTAACCCGCCAAACCCACAAAGCTCCGAATATCGGTGACAGTCCTCGGACGCTCCCACTGCAACACCGACTCCACCTTAGTCGGATCAACAACAATCTCCCTCAGATGAAATCACGTGGCCCAAGAACTTCACCTCATCCAACCAGAACTCAAATTTTGAAAGCTTAGTGTACAACTGTTTCGCTTTCAAAATCTCCAGCACTAACCTCAAGTGCTAACCATGCTCCTCTGGGGTCCTTGAATAAATAAGGATGTCGTCAATAAAAACCACCATAAATTTATCCAAGAACGGTCAGAAGATCCTGTTCATGTAGTCCATAAACACTGCAGGGGCGTTGGTCACACCAAACGACATCACAACATACTCATAGTGACCATACCTAGTCCTGAAAGTAGTCTTCGGTATGTCACCCTCCTTCACCCTTATCTGGTGATAGCCTGACCTCAAGTCAATCTTCGAGAAAATGGATGCTCCCCTCAGAAGTGGATATTTGTTCTTAATGGTCAACTTGTTCAACTTCCTGTAATCCACACAAAGTCGACTACCTCCATCCTTCTTTTTCACCAACAACACAGGAGCACCCCACGACAAAACACTCAGTCGCACCAACTGCTTCTCCAACAGGTCTTCCAACTGACCTTTCAGCTCAACCAACTCAGCAGGAGCCATTCTATAGGGAGCCACCGACATTGGCCCTGCACATGGAACCAAGTCAATGCTAAACTCGATCTCCCTAACAGGAGGCAACCTCGGCACCTCATCAGGAAACACCTCAGTAAAATCTCTCACCAACTCAATCTCAGCAATGACCTTTTCGGTCTCCACACTCATAGCAGCAGGCAGAAGACAGCACTCTGCTCCATCCCTCAGCAATGATTCAGCTTGGCCAACTGAAATCAATAACTCATCCTCCGCCTGACGAAAGGTCAACCGTCTATTAGCACAATCTATAAGGATGCAATTGGCAGACAACCAATCCATCCCTAAGATTATGTCAATATCCACCAAAGGTAAACAGATCAAGTTCACCTTATACCTCTTACCATTTACAACAATAGGCAGCCAACACACATCTTTGAAGCAACTACCAAAGTAGAAGCGGACGTCGACACTAGCAGTCTCAACCCTAATTCACACATAGGCACACCCAGCACAACAACACAAGCATAGGAAATAAACGAATGGGAAGCCCTAGAGTCAAACAAAAACATCACATTCTTACCAGCAGCTTTGCCCTTCCCCTTCATGAGATCAGAAGAAGTCAAAGCCTCAACACCAGTCAAGGCGAATACCCTACCAGTTGTAGTGGGTCTGTCACCCCTATGAGAATCACCCCTCTGCACATCACTCCTCTGAGCACCCCTCTCTAGTCTATTTCTGGTAGGACAGTTGAACAACTCATGGCCCATCTATTGGCACTTGAAACATCGACTCTCTGTGTGCGGGCAATCCCTAACAAGATGGGGCCCAGAACACCTATAACTGTCGCCACCCGCCGAAACGGACGTTGGCATTCGCGACGATGGTTGGACTCTTTTTTTAAGGTTTGAAAAGTGGTGGATTGTTAGAACGACTTATTCTCAAACTGAGACCTCATCGAACTAACAATTTTATTAAATGAGTCACCAATCCATGTTAATCTCAAGCGAGACCCTCCATGGATTAGTGGTTTTCACAAAAGAAGGGTTCTTGGAGTCGCCACCAATGTTTTACTCAAAACATTGGAAAAAGATATAAGGCAATTGATTTCATAAATCAACTTTGGCCATTACAACCAGAGTCGGGTAAGGGAGTCGGTTACGTGCGAGGAAGGTGTTAGCACCCCACAACGCCCCTTTCGGGTTCCCTATGACGGATTATTTCATAAATAATAGTGTAAAGTTACTAAATTACCCCTATTTATTAGAAACGATTATGAGTAAAATATTTACATGATGAAAACTCTAAACATGCAATGCAACAATCAAAAAGCAATAAATAAAAGCGGTAAAAGAAGGGATTTGGAAAGAAACCTTCGAAGCGGGCTTTTATATATTCAAAACGAAGTTTAGGAGGCTTTTTGGCGCTCCTTCCCACTACACGTCCGCTCGCTCCTTTCCCTAAAGATAATTTTTACTATGGAAATCAAAGAGATTTCCCTTCGACTTGTTCGAGTCTCAAGCTAAAGGCTCATGAACTCAAGAACTTAGTCGGATCGGCTCTCGGAGAGATTTCTAGGGCAGAGAATAGCTCAAAAACCCAAGAATACTCAGCAGGAGGGTTGAGGAATGTGTAAAAAGTGTGGAAGGACGTGCCAATGACGTCCTATTTATAGGATTGAGGCGCAATACGGCCTGGGAGGTCAATACGGCCCGTACTGGTTTTTTGAACTACAGTACGGCCGTATTGAATTTGGTACGGCCGTACTGAAGTTCAAAAACTTCAGTACGGCCGTATTGAGTTCACTACGGCCGTATTGCAGTTCAAATGGCTCAGTACGGCCGTACTGAACCTCTGGGAGGGTGTATTGAGCTCCAATCCTCGCACACCCTTATTCTAAGCTACTCTAAGACTTCTAGACCTACAAAGAATCATCCTAGGGTCTTCCAGGAGTCCTTCCGGCTGACTTTCCTTCGGTCTTCGAGAGTCTTTGAGTTTTATTTCCGACCCGGACAATTTTAGGGGTCTACAGCTGCCCCCCCTTTACTTAGTCAAACGGCTTTTTGGTGTACCGGTTGACAAGTAAAGGAGTTGACCCAATTGTCCGGGGAACAAGCCACCCTTCCGACTTGTAGTGTCTTCAGGTGGGAAAACTGTTGAGTAGCCTCTCCAGGTTGAGTATTAGTCGTCGCCTCTCCAAGCTCGTCGCGTACCTCGGTGTTTCTGACAACCTTGGTAGCGTGAGTTTGCCCTCTCCAAGGTCTGCGGTTACCGTGTTTCTGACGACGTTGGCCACTGCATACCTCCGTGTTTTTGACGACGGGGTAGTTGAGTATTAGCCGTCGCCTCTCCAGGCCAGTTGTATACCTCGGTGTTTCTGACAACCTCGGTAGCATGAGTTTGCCCTCTCTAGGGTCTGCATGCCTCCATGTTTCTGACGATGTTGGCAGCTGCATACCTCCGTGTTTCTGACGACGGGGTAGCTGAGTATTAGTCGTCGCCTCTCCAGGCTCGTTGCATACCTTGGTGTTTCTGACAACCTCGGCAGCTGCATACCTCCGTGTTTCTGACGACGGGGTAGCTGAGTATTAGTCGTCGCCTCTCCAGGCTCGTTGCATACCTCAGTGTTTCTGATCACTTTGGAAGCTTGAGTTTGCCCTCTCCAGGGTCTACGGTTTGCCCTCCCCAGGGTTGCATACCTCAGTGCTTCTGACGACGTTGGCAGCGTGAGTTTGCCCTCTCTAGGGATTTGTGATGATTTTGTCTCCACAGTCCACGATGCTGCTTCGACAGTTGTTTTTGATTTTGATGCCGCTGAGGGCTGGATAACGCAGGGATCCGTCTAGGGGATGTGCAGTTACTCATAGGTTCTTATGTCCCAACTTTCCATGGCGTAGTTGGTGTCCACTGGGGAATTTCTGATCCTTAGGGATGCAGACACAAAAATGCTCTTTCCGAAGTGAGCGGTGCCTTATGATTGACTGACGTCCTTTCGACCTTGGTGGAGTATCCAGGTTATCCTTATTCGGGAGTCTTTTTTCTGGTTTTTTGATTTTGTTGCCTCTGCGTAGGCTGTTATCCGC